TGCTCTTTCCCACTCGCCTGGCGGCCATGGACGAGGTAGCTCCTCTTCCACGCCTTCCCAATCCTCTTGTAGTAGCTCCCACAAACGCCTCCAGATCCTTGACTAGCGCTCGGCATTCATGGAGCAGTCCAGCGTCTCCAAGCTCGCGGGATGATCGAATTCGCAGCTCCCCCAGCTCATCTCGTCCACGGTGAAAAGGCGGCGTCGCTTGGAGACGGTGGCAGTGATGTGAGAAAAGTCGGCCTGGATCACGTCGTTAGAGTAGTGCGGCGGGAATGCCACCATGACATAGCGCGATTCATCAGTGGCCCACGCTCCACTTGAAATCCAGGCCTTGGAACTTGTCACGGGAAAGCCCGGCTGGAGTCCCAAGATGAAGGGCGTCTTGTCGTCGATCAAGCTCGCCCTGAAGAGCGCCGGCTGCTCCGGATTGACTGCGAGAGAGGAGAGGTAGCTGTTGGCGTAATTATAGAGCGCCGTCGTTCTCGTATCCGCGTGGCAGACTGTGCCAACACAGCCGCCACCTCAGCAGTCAACGCCACATCGGCCTGCCACCTGTGCCAAGCATTGGATGCTCAAAAAGCCATATTCACGGATCTCAACCTGAAAAACAAGGAATTTAGGCCTGGCAAGATAGAGAGATATAAACATGCATACGAGGTGAGTTCTTCCATTATCCACCTTTCCAGGTCTCAAAACTAAATAGCTACGTCCTTGTGCTTGTTTCTCCCAGCTCATATTGATTATTAAAAGTCCGCAAAGCTTCTCCAGTGTTTCACCTGTATCGAGCAGCTCCTTTGCAGAAGTAGGCAATCGATGCACAAAAGTTTGTAGACATCAAAATGCTTGGACTCACGCTTGTTTCTCCAGTCTTTCCAAGCTGAGGTTGAGCACGATCAGGTCACCCATCAGGCGCATGATATCCAAGCTACCACTCCACGCCACCCGACCCAGATCACTCTACATGACATTCTCGGACGATGGCCAGGACCTTCTCATCAAGAGTGTGGTGGAGCAATGTGGAATAAAAGCTGTCCATGAAGATCTGGTTGTCATGGAGATGTGTTATGCTGTGGAACAAACAAAAGATTAGTTTGACACTGTCCATGACTATAACAAAAGTTTCAACAGAAAAACTGTGTAGCATCTACAATATGCTCAACCCTATCCATCCAGCCGTGCAGACTTGGTTTGCATCTCTTTGATTTTTTTTAATGGCTGCTTACATTCTTTGTGACTTCATTGAAAATTCACAGTTAGATCATTCTTTTGTTGATTCTCTACTTGAAAATGCCTTTTCATCAATGAATAGCCTATGATACTCTTGTTCAAATATTACACATGCAAGAGAATATTTTATCTAAATGAATAATATTTTTCTGTGGTTTTCTTAATAATAGTGCTTATTATTTATTAATCATATCGATCAATTAGGAGATTATAATTATAAAAATGTTTATAATTTATAAAAAAGAGATTAATTATTACATAGAATAACTAGAATATACTAGAAAGTGTTTATAGAATATAAACATGTTTATAATTTATAAATACACAATTAATATAAATGAAAAACAACCATTAGATGGTAGAATATCCCAAAATATCAAGTATATTCTAGGTATATTCATTACCCTAAGGTTTTTTTAAAAAAATTAATAAAAAAAAAATATTTATAATATTATAAATTTTTTAAATAATATTTAAAATTATTTTGCATATATAAAGTTTGTAAATACATATATTACCCTGGCTAAGTAATACACTAATTATAGTACTATAACATATAGACCATCCATTTGAGACTGAATTTAGTCCATCCATTTTTGTATATAAATAAGGGTTTAAACCCAATTAATACATCTCGAACACTCACATTGGTGGGCATTGCAATTTGTCCCTAAAATACAAAGCTTTTTGGTAGTGCTTTGGTCTATTATTCAGGATTATGCTTTTTGTTTTTATTTCTTCATTTTTTAAATTTAAATTTATATTAGCTCTTTGGAAGATCTAGAACTCTAACTATCACTGTGTTTAAATTTACTCTTTTTTTTCATTTTCATTGCATTCTCTTTTTCTATTATGCTATGTCATCATTGATTAAAGAGTACCTCACTTAAGGTTACTAATGCTACTCTATTGGATAAATTTTTTGGTGTTATGAGGTGTGATCATATTGATGTTGCACCCATCATTGATGTGTTGTCATTTCCAACTTTTGTGAGACATGATTACATAGTTTATTTTATTCTCAGTGTTTTGCTATTTAACATTGCTATGGAGTATGATTGTGATATTGATTGACAAGCTATGGATAATGCCTTAGTTCTTAATTCTTAGTTTGAGTTTATGGAAAGATGATATGTATAAGCTCAAGTGGATTCTAGATTGTTTTGATAAGCTTTATTATTATAGAGATAGCTTTAGAAATGAAGTGGAGATTTTATAGGGTAGATGTCAATTTTTCAATCTACCATTTAATCCTTTTTTTTTTTTTTACATTTTGCTCTTTCCTAACTTTTTTTTATTTCTTGGCTTAAGCCAACTTCTTTATTTACAGAATTTCCTTTTTATAGCACATCAATCATTTGTGACTTTTATGATTTTTATTCTTAGTCAATTGTTGAATTGAGTATTTTCTATCTTTTTTATACTAATTTAGATGTTAAATATGTGTGGGAAGTTGCAAATCTTGTTTTTGTTTCTTTGGCAAAGTCTTTGATCAATTTTGGTGTTGAATATTCCTTTCTTCCAAGGTTAAGTCACTTTAACCAGAGTTTTAAGTTGAGTGCATGTCTCTAATTGTAACTGTTAGTGAGAGTTTTTGTTTTATTGTTATTGTTAAAGAGTTTATGTATTTCCTTGAGAGTGTGAATATTTCTATTAATTTTTCCATATCAAGTGTTGAGTTATGTGTTGAGGACCTTAAACAACATGAATCTTTTGCTTCTTTTGTATTGGTTGAAATATTTTACGATAAAGAGTCCTATGCTTTCCAAGCTTTGAGCATATATCCTTTTTTGTTTTCCCATTTTGCATTGACAGGTGCTAAATATTTCTCTTCCAATGCTTCTTTATTCATTTTTTCTTCTTCCACACTATTTCTTCCTCAATTTTTGTCACTTTCTCTTTTTTATTCCAATGCTTTAAATTTTTTTTCTTCAGAGGAAGGGGTAGAGGGGATGGATGGCAATTTAGCCCTGACAATAGAGTGAGGATGAGTAGATACAATAGTGGAGTAAGGACAAATAATATAAATTGTGGAGTGAAAACAAACATAGTGAGTCTAAATGGAATATTTAACCCTGCAAATTTAGAGATGGGATATATTATTTGTTACAATAATGCTTTATGGATTATAGTGGGTTCTTGCTTTAGTTCAAAATTATGGTTTTGTGGTTGGTTTAAACATTTAAGAGTTGTATATGGAGTTATAATTGATTCATCAGGATTCTATAGTTGACTAATGTTTATGCCATGGCTTTGGGTTTTATTTTAATTATGGTTATTAACAAATTTATAAGTGTTTTTATGGGAGCTTTAGATTTTTGTGATAATTTATAATTGCTCAGCAAAAGCTTCAGATGTTCAATTAGCTTAGCTAGATAATATGCTAATTATAGTACTTAAACCATCTATTTAGGATTGAATCTGGTCTATCCATTTTTGTATATAAGCAAGGGTCTAAACCCCAATTAATATAATTACACTCACACATATATAAATTATCTAATATTTTAGGATATGTACTAAATAAATTACTAATAGAAACCATGTTTTAGGTTGTCATGCAATTTTGGTCATCCATAATCTTGCCTACATAATAGTTCTCTCTCTTCAATATTATGAATCCCTAAATTGCCAAAACCTCTAGGAAAAGTAAAAGCTTACAAAAAAATGCAATTAGAGAGGGTGGTGGTGGTAAGTTAAATCTTTTGCACTTCAAGCTCCTACCACCTCTCTAATTGCATTTCTTGTAAGCTTCTACTTTCCTAGAGGTTCTAGCAATTTAAGGATTCATAATATTGAAGAGAGAGAACAATTATGTAAACAAGATTCCCTAGTCACCCTTGCATGGACAACCAAAATCACATGACAAGTTTTTTCTTTTCCTGTTTCTCGGGAAAATGTAAAAGTCAATGTCTTCTTAGGAGCATTTAAAAATAAGGTTGATGAGATACACCTAGAAACTATAAGGAGAAGATGATAACAAATTGGAGTGGAAATATATGCAAATGTATTTTATATTTAATTTAGAAGATATAATGGCAAGGACACCAAGAGAAGGTTTGGTGAAGAGGACAGCAACAGGTCGGAAGAGAAAATCTCTGATAACCTCTAGCACCTCCTAAGCAAGTCAACATGGCTCTGAGCTTTTACTTTTCCAATGCTCAACAGCAGAAGCAAGCCTCTCAGGTGGTGGAGAGAAGACGAAGAACCTCCCAAAGTCAGCCTTCTTCGGACCTGTCTTCTCGAGAGCGCATGGAACCTGTGACGTTAACTTGTTCCACGAAAAAGTCCCTTGTCACGCTTAGAACCACGAGGAGTTGCAATAGCGCTCGAGAAGAGGAAGTAAAACCAAGAGCTACTCGTGGAAGATCTTGAGTGGGACGTTTATTCGATCGTGATTCCAGTCTAGTGGCAGTAGCAGAAATGGAAACAGGAAACATTTAGGGGCAGGCAAACCATTCGAGGGGTCAGCCACGTCGACTAACTGTTGGGGATTACAGGACGAGCCGCCTGGCCAAGCTGATCGACGCTGCATGTCTGTGCTACTCAGACATGCTGACATGCACGGCTCGATGAAATTGTCCACGCACATCTGGAGCTCTATGAGTCGGAAATCTGCGTTATCATACATCATTCAGAAAGCCGTTAGCGCGAGTTGTTTTTTCCAGATTGGAGAAAGAGAACTTGGAAAATACCAGGGAAGATTTCAGATGCGGTTATTCAATTTTGTCATTTTAGGACTATGTCTACCTTTCTAAGAGTGGGAAAGCTTACGAAACTAACCATAAATTTATTGGTTCAGCCTCTCATAAAAGACAATTTTCTAGCCTCTCATCTAGACAATTCGCTCAGATATGACAACTCTGAGGTTTTATGAAGCTCTTCAGATTTTTTGGTAAAGTATTCCCTGTAGCCTTGGCAAACTCCCTCAAAGCTTCAATGGTCTTCTCTTGGCGCACAGCAAGCCGCTCATCCATATCCATTTCTACCAACCTATCGGAGCGACCAAATAGCATTTCTAGTGGAGACTGCAACATGTAGAAATGAATCAGCATCCCCTGGACAATTGCAGCAATCGATCCCACAAGTAAAAGGGCTTGTCTACGCCATCCCAGCAGTGGAGCAACGGTGCCCAAAACACAGGCAGCCATGTAACTCGTAATCTTCGTCAGGTACACCACTATGAACTTGAACACTCCGGGCCCGTCATACCATTTGTCAGGAAGTTGTATTACCGGAGTGAGAAGTCCACAGCATGATATCGCCAGCAGCAGAAGCATCACCCATTGATTTGTGCTCATTATGGAACACACACCACTGAGAAAACCGCTGGTGCCTCCAACAAGAAAACCATATGCATTACTTTTCTTTCGACCCAAAAGGCCATAGAAAAATACTGCATGGACGCACTTGTCAGTCTCGAGAGAGAAAACAGTGAAACACTTACATGATAAGAAGACGGGAACCAAAGCAGAAGCTCCGCTTCCTTCAGGGAACTCAGGGGGCCAAAATATGGCACCCATATAGAACGCATATATAGTGAAGCAATGACAAACAAGATTTATCAAGAACTGGCGCCGTATAATCCAGTGCCCACTGAGGTTCCAACTCTCGTAGATATCAGCAAGATCATACTCACCATTTGGGCTCAACAATCCCTGCTCCATAGGGTAACTTAGATTGTCCTTTCCCCAAATATATCCTTGACTGTATCTCATCCGACGGCTATTAGAAAAGGTCATAGCTGATGTGTGAGACCACCCATATCAGCGCTAAACTGCAACGGGCAATTCGTGTCGGGCAAATGCAATCGAAATGCCAATCAATCTCCTGGAAATTTAGAGATTCATCCACAATGCCTGGAGGTGATCCCGCCTCGATTAAACCACTGAATGGCTACGCTTTCTTTCTCTAGATTGCAAAGTGTTTTCTTATATCCTCTTCCAGGGGTTCCTTGTTGCTCGCTCCATCCTCTGGTGTTCAAGGATCCTGCTTAAAATTCATGGTTGAGGCGCATAAAAGACGCTGGAATGAATCGATAAGTAAGGCGGCGAAGCATAGCTCTGCTGCTCTAGAATCCATGATCAAGAAGATCCTCGTCTTCTTTCGTAGCAGCACGGTCATGTGGAACTCGACATCGTGACGCAAACATTGTTCTTGTGGACCAGGGAATGTCGTCACTTCTTTGTTTGAGAATTCAAACAATACACTGGAGCCATATTTGAAGCAAATCTATCTCCAAAAACTCCATCTTTTCTGCGTATGCCCACAATGGGCATCTGGACTAGACTCTGATTTTGCTTGACGACAGCGGGATCAAGTGTCCAAAAGGAATAGTG